TCCCCCTGTCGCTGCCACCATTTATAGAAAGTTTATTAAGTAATGAATCCTTCATGAAGGTTTCAATAGTCTTTATTGAAACTATTTTAGCTGTTGATTCAACCGTGTGATCATTTTGTAGGATGTAGTTTGTGTTTTTTGTGTCATTTAGCCTGTCATCATTGGTAGTGGCCTGAATTTAAAAGTTGAAAGGAAATGGGGTCATGTAATTGAGGATTTTGCAAGTTATGGCGTTGTCAATTGCATCCTGGGAACAAAATCAATTATAATATATTTACACATAGGTCCACCAGGATTTTACGTTTATATTTGAAATGATAACACAGAGCAGCTTTAATTGGTCAGTTTTCTGCTGAAATAGTGTCAGTAGTATTTGACTCCTATTACTGAAAACACATCACTGACGTAGAGTGAATTTATCTGGAGGGAAAAAAACAACTGTCTGCTTTCCATGAACAAAGAGAAACACAGCTTTCAGTTTGCATTTTTCATTTCATCCACTGAGGCTTTGAAAGGACTTCATGTGCCGAGGGGCTGGATTCCCTCAACAATGAGAGCGTGTAATCCTTAAAATGAAGTCAAAATTTAAAAAATCAACAAAATTAAGATCCTGAGATTTTCACTCCAAGGCATGGATTATTTAAAAAAAATGCTGTGGTTTGCTCGCTCTCTCTCTCTCTCTCTCTCTCTCTCTCTCTCTCTCTCTCTCTCTCTCTCTCTCTCTCACTCACCCAGCTGCTTTGCACAAAACTAAAGAATATTTAAGAAAAATTTAACTAAAAAGTGCATCTACTGTGTGTTTGTGTGTTTCATTGTTTGCAGATATAGTGTGTGTGTGGAGGATTTAGTTGTTTAGGTTTGAAGGATAACAGACAAACTGCTGTTGTCTCTTCTTCATCTCTGTTGTCCTCTTTATCTGCTTTCCCTCCTGCTGACTCTTCACATTTATCTCTGTTGTCTATCTATTGCTAAATTATCTTCACCCCCTTTTCATTCCTGCTTATCTGTTTCCCTCCTTCTCTTGTTACAAGGCAGGTCAGTGTGTTTGTGTGTGTGTGTGTGTGTGTGTGTGTGTGTGTGTGTGTGTGCTGTCTATCGTGGATGCTTATCTCTTGGATAAGAGACTATGCTGATCCTTAAGATTTTTATGAAATCAACCCTTTTTTGATCCTATTCATGTAGCTATTCAGTATATTTAAACTCTGCCAATACTTCTCCACATTAGATTTCATTGTTAGTTCCATTTTCTGCTACTTGTATACTTCGACTCCACTACACTACATCTCAGAGGGAAATATTCTACTTTTTACAACACTACATTTTAAATCTAATTTGATTTTTTTATAGGTAAAGCCACTTTAAGTTAATCATTCATACAAAAATATAATCAGCCAATAAATGAAGATGTATTGTTATAGATTATACTGCTGAGCAGTATATAAAATAACTAAAATGAGCTCAATCTTTACCAGCTGCAACATTAAAGGGATGAACACAGAAATGTAACAGCAGTTAAAATCCACTATTCTGAAACAGACCCTCATGCATAATGAGTCTGTTTACTTTTGGTACTTTAAGTATGTTCATGAATGCAGAATTTTGACTTGTAACAAAGTATATTACACTGATGTATTGAGTTTACCTTAGTTAAAGTCCTGACTGCGGTGACCTGAGTTTAAATTTGGCTCAGGGCATGTAAGTGTAGTGCAACACACACACACACACACACAAACACACACACACACACACTCACATGTCAAGTTAACAGTGTCATGGCCGCGACCTTAGCTGATTGATCCATCATTGATCCATCAATGACGTTTTTTAGAGAGGCTCTTTAATGGTGGGATTCCTGCAACAGGGACAGGCAGGAAACAAATCAGAAAATGAAAGTGGGGAGAGACGGAGCCTGAGAGAGTTTGACAGACAGTCAGCTTGAGAGAGAAGATTCAGTAAATGATGGAGAGTGTGAGAGACACTTTGAGACTCAGCAAGTGAACACGGGAGACAGTAATTACCCTTCTGACTGAGAGGGAGCATGAGGTAGAACGAGAGGGAGACTCAGAGAGACCATTTCATTCATTCAGTCTGAGTCACACCGGACACTTACTGTCCCTGTTGTTTTAAACAGAAACATCTTAATTCATCAGAAGAAGCAGCTTCAGGAATCATGCAGAAGTGTCTGCAAACCAGTCCTTCTTTGCACTGCAAAAACTCACCAAGTATACCAAGTATATTTGTCTAAATACTGCAAAAATATCTTATTTAATGTAAGACACAGTCACCTAACACGTAGCATGTAAGTGAAATATAGTTCCTTGTTTTTAGATAACCATCTTCAATATCTTGTTATGTAAAAAATAAATATTACTTTTTTGCATTAAATTATTTTTTGACACTTTCTAATACTAGTGGAATATAAATGAAAATGAATATATTTTGAAAGGCCTTGATATAACATCTTATTTCAAGCAAATTTTCACAAGTTACAATTACAGACTTTTTATATATTACAACCCAAAACACCTTGTATTCATTGTTTTTTTATGTTATTGTTGAAGAGTTATTTTTTTCCAGTGTGGAGCAGTTACTGTAATAGAGAAAGGTAAATAAAGTGGACTGGTGTAACACAGCTAATAAAATAAGATAATATAAAACTTTATTTATTTAGAGGAAATTGGCTCTACAACAGTTACAATACAAAGTGGGAACTGTGCAAATATAAAAGTCTACGATTACAATAACAAATCCGAATTTGCTTCAGAGTTAAACATGAACTGAGAAAAAAAATTATATCAATTAGTAAACATGAACAGTGTATGTACAGTATTTAAAAACTATACCAAGATAAGACAAGATACGATATATTTTGTTGTCTCTGAGGGGAAAATTGCAGCTGCAATCCGCTTAAATCGATTCATAGCCAACTGAAATTAGAGTTATACACTAAAAAACATGTAAAATGTTGCCCATGTCCTTCAAGATAGAAAAAATACACAAAGGCATTAAAAAACAGGAGAGAATCATTAGTCATAGAGACAGAATACATGGAGAAGTACAACAATACATCCTTCCTTTGAACTACAAAAACAAGGATTAAGCCGTTCTTCTCTTTAAAAATACATAAATACAAAATGGTGAAAAAGAAATGGAAAAATGAACACACTATACTGTGACGTCAGAGAACAGACTCCTTAAGTGCGTGAGTCACAGGAAGAGGTTCAGCAAATGAAAATGAGAAAAAGAGCGAGAGAATAATGTTTGATAATCTCCATTATGAGGTTTTGTGAGTTTTTGCCTAATTGAACAGCTTCTGTGAGATCAAGGCTTTTTATTTCAGCAGCTGTTCCGAAGCATGAAACAGCATTTACTTCACCTGAGGGGAAATGAAAGAACTACATTTTAATTGCATGATTTAAATGTAATTTTTATAACTGACACAACAACCCCACGTCAAGTTGTCAATGGTTTGTGTGGTCAAATACAAAGCTGGGTTCTGTCTTTCTCCAGGCACCATTAGATGGAGCATTAACAGCTTCATTACAGTATCATTAACCGTGAACAAATAAAGGCTGTGCGGCACCTTGCATGGTAGCCCCTGCCATCAGTGTATGAATGGGTGTGAATGTGTGAAATATAGTGTTGAAAGCGCTTTGAGTGGTCAGAAGACTAGAAAAGCGGTATACAAGTACATTCCATGACGTCACTCTACGCTGCAGCTCCTCTGTAGGCAAGCAAGCACAGTTCTGGCAATTGGCCGGTGGGGTAGCCACTAGCTAGCCTGCACGAGGCAGCTTCGCAACTTGGATGAAGGTCCGACGGGAGGAAGTAGACCATGAGGCAGCCGGTACACCAACGGACACCGCTAGACCTCTTCATTTTCCTTTCTTCTTCTCTGGTTGACTGCACGATGCTGAAGGAAAAACAGCTATAAGGATATAAGGGCGTCACGAGAAGAGGAAATAATCTTCACGACGGTCCAGTGCCATTTACATGATCTTCACCTTACAAGTAGTGGATGGAAACAAGCAGACATTTGCATTTCTTTCCTGGAAATTCGGTTAAAATTTAAGCGACAGTTGGTACCAATGCAATTTTTTCCAATCTCTATATAAGAACATGATATTTTCAATGTGAGAACATGACTCGTTGATTTTACAGTCAGATTTTGTAATGCTTTCCCTCAAAACCCTGTCCTAGCACTGAAATAACTGCTATTGCACTTGGATTTGCTCTGATTCTGCTCAAACTGTATATTCTGTAGCCTGCACAGATTCCTTGAGCTCCACCTTCAGCCCTTCTCCTCACACTCAGGCTGCTTCTGCGTTTTTATGCTATGGCAGCAGACCTTCACTCACAAAAAACATAGCGGAGCACTACAGAGCTTATCTTAACTATGCATCAAGCTTACGTTTTTTTGTGCACATGTTTCATGAGCACACAAGCAGCCCAGGTGTGAGGAGAAGGGCTGAAGCTGGAAAGAAGGAATTCTGTGCAAGCAATAACATAACTGAGTCTAAGCATACAGTTTGACCTAAAATCCAAGCGCAAGCAGGGGCTATTTGAGTGTGAGCACAGGATTTATGGGTTTTATGAAGTAAAATTAATGAGTCATGGTCTCAAATTTAAAGACCATGCTCTTGAATAAACCTGACTAATGAGACGACAGTGATGAGATATGACTGAGCCCTTCAATTAATTAGTATTATTTAATACATATACTGTACGTGTATATATATATGTATATATATGTATGCAGGCAGAGAGACAGAGAGCACAGTTGAGTGAGAAAAACCAGAGAGTACAGGACTTTCAGACTCAGCAAAAGAGAGAAAAGGATGCACCGAATGTGAGAGCGAATTAGAGACGCTTAAGATAGAGAGAGAGAGCCAATACGGAACAAGGGAGAGAGACCCTGGGTAAAGAGAGAGAGCGAGAGAGAGCGAGCGCAGTGAGAGAGCTGCGGAGAGAGTGAGGGGCTGAATGTGAGAAGCAGCGTGAGGAGAGTGATAGCAGAAAATCATTCAGCTCCTGATCATCACTGAAGACGACTCAACAACTTACCGACTCTCTCTGGAATCCTGAAATCTGCAGGAAACCTCTCCTGCGTGCTGACGGTTTCAAATAAGGAACAGGAGACTTCTTTCTTCTTCTATTTGTTTTTCTTAAGGAAAGAGATGTGGAAATATCCTTAGAGGGAAAGATGAAGGTTTTAAGAACCTGACGATTTTTGTTGGAGCTGAAGGAATACCGAACCAGATCTGCGTTGGTTTGTGGAGGATTTGAAGAGTGACTGACATTCTCAACTGAGGGCTTATGAAAGCAGGAGGAGGAAAAATTAGAATACTTAAGATCTCTGGCTTTTGGAAAACAGGGATGTTTTTTCCTGTTGGGACTTTTTTATCGACCAACTGAATGTCTGTGAAGGGGCAACAGAGAGGAGAAAGTTAGCGAAGTGTCTTGAGGTTATACACACATGTCAAATATCATCATGTTCATCATCAATCTTTGTCGGCTGCCGACGCACTCTCACAGGTGCAGGGATGAGTTGGGACAAAACAGCAAGGACACTAGAGGATTTCCACACACATTCATGACCACGCACACACGCAGCAATTACATCTGTGCAGGTATGTAGTGGAGGGGAAGCCCACCATGACAAAGAAGACCTCTTAAGATCGGCTTCAAACTGAAATAAGTTACGTGTTTCTCTGCGTGTGTAATTTAAGAGTGAAAATGAAAAGATTAGTGATTTTTTTCCAACCATTCTTGGATGTTTGCATCATGACAATCAAAGACTAAAGGTCAAGCTTTGTCTGTTTGAAAAGAGACAGAGACTTGGAGGACATGAAATTCAGATTTGTAAGATCTGGGGATTGAGATGGGCCTAATGTTTTTATCATGAGTGCAGCTTTGACAAGCCCAGACTTCAAGGATGAGAAACCTGCAACTGTGTCCCCCATCGCTCCAGCTTCAAATGGATTCTATAATCGGAAGATGAGAAGAGGTTTTTCTTTTTTTTTAAATGACTGAAAACATGTGAGTCAAAGTCACTCCAACATTTGGTTTGGAATATTTCGAGCAGAGCCCAACTGGAACTATTCTTCCTGTTTGTTTTTCCAGTGCTGTGGGACGGGCTGCACACAGTCACGGTATTAACCAAACAATTTAATTTCTATCCATTGAAAATTGTCCTTTGAGCTTGAACAGCTGCGCTTTTTGTTATGCTGAATTAAGCAGCTATTTTTGTTTGCCGCTGCGGACAAGATCGTCATCTGTTGATCCTTTGACAGACGATTTGAGATGATGAAGTAAATACGTGACAGCACATATTGAAATATAATTCATTACTCGAGTGCTATATGGTGTTATATTGATGGCATTCACCTGGGGAGAGGATTTGGAGAGTGAGTAAATGATGACAAGACTTCCCTCTTTCTGTCTCCACTCTGACCCATTTTCCAGGCAGCAGTCCTGAGGCGTTTCTGTCTCTGGCTGTGACGCCCTCACCGAGCCGACACCATGAACCTGCGTGGTGGCAACGTGTCAGAGTTGATCTCCAACACCGTCAGAGTCGTAACCACTCTGGAGTCCAATACCTGGTCTCCACGTAGATTTGAGGAAATCACCCTGCGAATCAATAACGTGACAAACCCGGGGTGTCACGGGAATGGCGCGCCCCGTAATGGCATTGACGTACAGTTAGGGAACTTGTCTTACCGTAACGTCGGAGGAGTTTATGGCGAGGAGGGCGGGAGGATTTACGGGTCTCATTGTCCTCAACAAGAGATGGCGGTAGAGAAGAACTGGGCAGCGCTTTTGATTTTACTCGTCATCGCCGTCACAGTCATGGGCAACATCCTGGTGATCCTGGCTGTGTCCCTGGAGAAGAAGCTGCAGAATGCCACCAACTATTTCTTGATGTCTCTGGCGGTCGCCGACATGCTCCTCGGCATTCTGGTCATGCCGGTCTCCATGGTGACCATTCTCTACGGTAAGCTTTGCGCGACGCTGATATTGAGCCTTATTAAGTTGACATTTGGTGTGTTGCTGACTCGAGTCCAACAGGCACACAGTCGTTTTCCCCTCAGAGTGTTTGAATTGTTGTCTGACAAAACAAACTGCACCTGCCTGCATGTTTCAGGCTTCACTCGCTCTGCAGAGTAAAGTGGCCCAAATGTTATTGGAATGACAGCATGAAGAAAAGAAATGACAAAAGAAATCTGACACTTCCTTTTAATGCTTTGTTTTCACTCTCATGTCTGCTGTGACATGCGTGACTCTCGTGGGCAGATGGAGAACAGCGCTGATGGCCGTGTTCAGTGTTGTTGTTGACAGTGATGTGTTTATTTTGAGTGCCGCTTCAATGCACACAGAAAGCTGCAAAACCAGTGAGTTTAGGGGGATGAAGAAAGGAGCCACAGGAAGAAATGCTGAAAAAATATCTGCATGTAAAGTGGATTGAAAGAAGCAGTCATGGCAAGAAAAGACGAAGTGAGAGGAGACCTTGCTGTTGGGCCCATGTTGACCACCCAACCCACCACCTACCACCCTGTTTTGAGTGTCCATGCGCCCTGTCGCCTCCTAGCTCCCTTTACATACAGTGCACACAGCAGACTGCCAGACACACCAGTTTAACCGTGACATACAAAGTAGTGGAAGTTCAGTATTTAGCCGATGGGGTAACAGGTTTTAAATTTGACAAGAGCAGTGATACTGGGGCAACTTTTGCAAGAGACCGTTAGCCCTTCAAATAATGCACATGCGTACATTGTTGCCTGCTAAACACAAAGTACACCTGAGGCTGATGGTAATGTCATTAGTTCTGCAGGTATGTTGCCGTAACCCAAAGTATGGGTCTCTATCAAAATATTATATAGAATCTGAATCCCATTTAATCAAATGTCATAGCAAACCAGACAATAGCTGTTGAGACAATTGACTTGAAAGAAAAAAAAGTTAACCTCATCTTTACAAGTCCGTAAGATATCTGTGTAATATTTGGTACCAATCCATCCAAGGAGCTGAGTGAACATTTTAACAATTTCAATATCTGCAGCAAATTCCGTTGCAATCCATGAAACAGTTGGAAATATATTTCACTCTGAACCACAAATGTCAGCGCTGGAAGAGAAGTGAGGATTAATGAATGCTTCTGCAAGATTTCATGGCAATCCATCCAAGAGTTGTTGAGATATTTCAGTCTGAACCAAAGTGGTGGATCGACCGATAGACTGACATTTCCATCATTAAAACCATGATACCAGCATGAAGAATAAATCGTTAAGTCTGGAACCATAACTTCAGAAGCCTGCAGCTCTTCTCTCCTCTGTACTTGAACACTGATGTCCCTCTGCTGGTGGTTCAGGTGGCAGCTGACTAATGCTTCCCTCGGTCAGCTTCAGGAAGCTGAATGTTTCCTCTCTGCTCGCCCTCATTTTTTTCTGTTTATCTGTCACACACACACACTCACACGCACACACGCACACGCACACACACACGTACACACCATCCACTGTCCTTCACTGTTGCCCATTTCCAGCTGATCCTGGCCCTTCTGCCTCCCTGAGCTTCCCCCTGTGTCTCTGGAGATGTCACGAGCCGCTGCTCACATAAGGGGCTTTAAGCCCTAAGTACCAAATTCATTTGCATGAGAACGAGCAGCGGTAAATTAGTCAGAAGGAAGAGCACTTCCAAAAAGAACGACCCCCGGTGCTTATTACTCGCCTACCCCGCTCTTTAATGAGAAGACAAAAGAAGTCATTAGCCACGCCGACGCCAAAAACAAACGCATGCCGCAGTTATTTTCTCATGTTGCTACTCAGGATCGGCGATTCACATTCATTTACTGATTTAGAGAGCAAACACAGCATTGTTTCAGGGTGAGAGGGCACGCGATAATATCAGAGAGTGAGTTGGTGGCCATGGGATAGGTCATAAGAAGATTATGGGAGGAAATCCAGAGATGAGGATGTGAATGGTTATTAATGAGGGCATAGATTGGTTTGTGGTTGATGTCCTGGCTGTGAAGATTAGATTATTAATGGGGTCATTGCTGAGGTTAAGGGCACTCATGCATGAAATAACAGGTGGAATCGCAGGTGGTCATTTCAGTATTGCCATCATATATTAAACTAGTTGAGACGATACGTGACAATATAGTATGATTACGATAAACAAGGTAAAAGCAACTGCAAATTACGTCAATGTAGCACTGAAGAATTAAGGCCCTCGAGCAGCGGGAAGTGTAAACTCATGAAACATGATTCGGATAGATGAACCATCAATCAAATGTGTGCCGAAGCCAGTCGCAAGAAGAGTGAAAACATCTTCAGTGTCTTTGTTCTTTCATCTATGCTAACCTAGAGTAAAGTCGGGAATGGGGAGATAGGCTTGTACCTTTGACTTTTTATTTATTTAAGAACCAGATATTTTCTAACTAACTGTGAATCCAGCAAAGATGTCTATGAACAAATGTAATGGGACATCTACTTCCCCTAAAGGTCGACATACAACAGCCGAGTGTAATGCATGTTAAAACCACTGTCCTGATTCAAGCATCGATGCCCATCAATCCTCCAGGAAAGCAACAATTTGATCACGTCTTCTACCCGGATCTGCAACTGCCATCTGCTGCACCTTGACTGCTTTTGTCTATGATGTGCTCAGTGTGTGCTATTCTGTACATTTCAACCCCCACGCTCTTTGGTTGTAAATGAGGTGGAAATGCAGCTTCACCTCTAAGGAGGACATTATAACTTTTGTGATCCTCTGACTATTTTTTCTCTCTCCATCATCAGGTCAAGCTTAAAATGTGTTCAATCGTTTGGTTTATGACCAAATACCTGCAGAACTAATGATATTCCCATCATCCTCAGCTGTCCTTTGTGTTTAATGCTAATCAGCAAGTGTTAGCATGCTAACATGCTAAGATGGTAAACACTTATAAGCAGCATGTAAGCATATTATTGTGAACAAGTTGCCATTCATAGCATTTAATGCACCAGTGTGTCTAGTTCAGTACAGTCTCACAAAGCTGCTAGCATGGCTGTAGACTGTTAGACTCTGTGTTCACATGCACAAGTATTTCCAAGAGCCTATTTTTCAGACTTACTGCTAAATCATCGCAACTCCATCATCATCCTCGCAGCACGCAGATTTTGGTTACTTAGAGATGGCAAGCGCGACAGTAGTGCAACCCCCAAAGCACCTTCGATAAAAGGAAGAAAGCGACGTGAAAGGCGTTTTTGAACGGCCCCCTTTGTCCTGTTTTTGCCAGAGGCTAATGAAAAAATGTCCAACATTAAAAAGATTTCTCTTGTGAAACAACAACCCCAGAAACCTTCTATCCACATTTCAGAATTTGTCATTGCTCTCTGAATCCCATTTTGGGACACATTATGAGCGTTGTTGTCAGGATTATTCTCCTCTGAGTCACTATACTTTACCCAGTGATGGAGTACAGTCATAAATTTGATATGACGTAGCATATTGAGCATGTGAAATACTCGTCGGCTTACCAGCCAAATACTGTTTTGGCTGACGTGTTTATCTTGTCAGTTGGCCCAGTGAGGATTTAGCAGATCAAGTTCTATCTATTTGACTAAAATAAACATTTCAATTGTCTTGGGAAATTTGGGATTAGCCTAACCACTGAGGCTGTGTGGACACAGTGGACAAAGAGCTTGATTCCTAAATTATACATGAAAATACAGAAGGCAAATATCATTTCATACTGTGTAGTTTGGGTTTGCTCCTTCCTGTCCTCGCTCTTGTTTTTGTGAAGCACTCCCCGGGGATGAGCTGTCAAAATAAACTTGACAGACTGATGTGCTTTCTCACCTTACACAATCCTCCTGACACTCTTCTCGCTGGTTTAAAGAGCTTGAATAACTTAGGGGTTTCACTTGACTAGAATTTGCACCCATGATAGTTGAAATGTACAGTTGAGAGCTTCTATTTGAATTATCTCCCATCTAAAACACAGATAAATATTGAGATTGGCTCCTTTTAACAGATGGCTTCTGCATCTTTGGCCGATTTCTCGGGAGATATTCAAGAAGACATTTATTTTCCCCCGAAGAGATCGATGGCACTTTGAAACAAAATGCTTTTAAAGGTGAAGGCACTCTACGGTTTGTTGGACTGTGACTCAAGTCAGCATACAGACGATTTAAACTCCGAGAGGATTTTTGCAGTTCATCACATCTGCTATTAGCAAATGTCAACATTTGTCAGTGGCTGAGCTGCTTCGGAGGCAAAAAATAGTTAATCAGTGGAGTTAAATTTACTGCAGTGTGAAAGGTTTAGGAACCAAAGAACTAGCAGAATCCTTTAGAGAGCAACTTTAGCTAATTGGCAAACTTGTAATTGTAAACAGGGAACACACAAATAGAAATGGTGGCGATGCTGTTCTTTATTCATTGTGTTGGAAGGTCAGCTGAAACATATCCTCCAAAACCCTCATGTAAGTTGGTTTGAAATCACTTCTTTTTTGCGCACTACTATGAAAAACAGTCAAAAGTTTCCAACACTGTTGCCAACAGGAACAGGTGCAGTACAAATTAAAAGATTTAGAGAGATGGTACACAATTACAATAGAGATTTGTGACGAAGTCACGGCTTGTCATCAAAAAACTTAAAGGTCAGGTTCACAATTTTTCAAGTCGGTCTTAAAACAGTTGTCAGGTGGTAAACATCGGAACAGAGTTCGTTTGCTGTAATCATTCCTCCTGTCCATACTGGACATTAAAGATATCTTCATAACATGTTTCCAATGTGAATTTACTCCAACATTCATCTTAAGTTAATATGAGTCAGTCATATCAAATAATTATCTGCTTTTTTTTTTCATTGTTTTAATACTAAAATGTCTGTGAAGTGACTTTACAGGAGTTGTCCGTTTAGCACCACAAAACAAGCCAGAACTTGTATTTTTCCGCAGTGCAGCATTTGTAAGGAGCACATGTACCATAGTGTTGTATCGGTACGTGT